TGTAAACATTATGTTTTTTACACAAGTAAATCTTCAACTTTCAAGCTTGGTTTGTTTATTCATTTACCTTTCCTTTGCTTAACAACAGTATAACATTTTAAAGAAGCTTTCGAATGTGTGTCTTGAAGCTAACAGCTAAGTTAAAATAATTTTTGTATAAACAAGCGGACCTTAAAGTACGCACACTTGCTGGTAGAAAAAGCTTTCTGGAATTTTTTAACAATAAATAAAGATTTCATAATGTTGTTATTATTCATTATAACTTATCATTAAACATACCTTCCACTGAACGTGATGTTTCCATATCTTCCTATATATATCAACTCATTTTTGCCAATCACGCCAGTAAAATAACTTTGACGGTTCTGAGTGAAGAATATATCAGGGACCCAAACCTTTGATATAAATGAACCGCTTACTTTTAGATTAGAGTATGACGCATTGTTGGAGTAGTCCAAGCGGCTGTCTGTCCAGTACATCCTCACGTACATCAAGCAAGAAAATTCCTGTTGAATAATGTTTCAAAAGCTTTCCATTATTAAAAAAGAATATGGTACATTTAATATCAAAACATTTGCTGTTTGTTTTACTTTATAGAAAAATTACAAAATGTACATTTTCTTATTTTTTCTTATAAAATCAATCGCGTTTTATTTATGGCAATATCAATAAATAATAGATAATATAAAATGTGGTACCTTCATGTTGGCATGAATATGATTTTTTATCATTTCTTTGCATTATATATACTTAGCATGTAACCTCGCCAGACATCAAACATATATCACCTAAACATTTACCTTTTCATATTAAACTTAATAGGATAATTAATTATATCCATATACTCCACAATAGTTATCATACTTATTTGTGATTTTAACTAGACATTTGCAAAGGCTACGAGCATAAATATTTCGCTTAAAACATATTAAAAAAACTCTTCCCTTGAGAGATAAACATGAACAGAATGTTCATCAATGGAGATTGGTAATCACATTCACCAAATGCAGCCCCAAGAGCATCAGAAGGACAAAACACAAGGGTGTAAAAAGAACGAAACGCACCTTTTTTAAAACAAGAATAAAATTTTAGGGAATCAAAAAAAACAAATTAGGATATTAACTTTTATTTATTAATAAAAGACAAAAAACGGAGAAAAAAAGGAAAAAATTTAAAAACAATGATGGGTTTATTTAAAAAGAGCCCAACAAGGGAAATCCGGGGGAAAAAATAATACATTTAAACAATTAAAAAAGGGGAACACCGTGACACTACAAGTGTCACCACATACTTACAATGTACAAGCGTATAACAAAGACAACAAAGACAACTATAAACTATAAATCTATACATGTTTAATTTCGTAAGTAAGCTATATGTCAATAAAATGTTATGGTTTTAAACAACAATATATTTCTTGCAAGCTGTATGTTTGGTCAATTCATATAATGCTCCAAACTTCTTACCATATTCTTCTCATTCTCAGAAATAAAATCATGGATCGTTAGCTGAATTTTCACTTTAGTGGTTGCTCCTTCTATTGAAGTAAAAGATTGAATATTGATAATAATATACGTACAAGTGATTGAGATGCTAGCTAATTTCACACTTTATCATATACACATAATGATTTTCCTAAATATGTTTTATTTGCATACTTTTAATAAAAGAAATGTATGTCTTAACAATATGACACAAAAATATTGCGTTTGAAGCTTGTCTTTCTTTCCAATTATGAGAGAAAATGCGTGTATGAAAGGCGAGATGTATAAAAATATTTTGAGAACTGAATTAAACTTTTTATGTTACAATGTCCTTTTTTCTAGTTTATAAACCTAGTTTATAAACCTACTATTCTACATATCATAATACACGTTGAAGTTGTAAACTATAGTACATGTAATTCTCGAAAAACGTTCAATTGAAATCATGTTTTTAAATAACACCGAATGGGGGAGGGGGTGGTTGGGGCGAGAAGTAAATTGGTCTAAGTGTCTTGCAAAAGGAGTTTTCTTTACTATTTTAACGTTGTTTATCAAAATTCATGGAAAATAACCAACGCATCTTTTTAAATATTTAAATAAACTGCCTCTTCTAACTTCTATCTGTTTTGATAAAAAAATACTGAGCACGGTCATCGATGGTCGCATGTGTAGAATAAGTTTCCGTCAAAAGCTTTTTTGTACACCGATGCGATGTTGTGTGAATACATGGTTTCATATTTATAGTTAAATCATTAATATGATTTGTCAAAATTCACATTATCCACATTGTATTTTTAAAAATAACTTTACGACACTACAGTAGAATCCCTACTTAGGACCACCCCGGAATGAAGATCACCTCGCTATTAAGACCATTTTTAAAAAGAACAGAATTTTCTATTCTTTATATCAATGATAACATGATCCATAATTAAGACCACCCCGCTTATCCGCTTTTAAGACCACAAGGTTCAGTCCCAATTCATTATTTTATTCTTTATTTGACCACTATTGAGACCACTGATTAAAGTCAACACCTACCTTATTCTTAACTTTGTTGTTATCATCTGCTTGAATTCTCTTAGGCATGACACTTGATTTCACAAGGTGTCAAAAACTGTTGTTACTGGGTTATTGTATGAAGTAAATTTTAGAGTGTTTTAATGTTGCTTTCAGCACATTTATTTTGTGAAGAATTAAAACTGGCATGATTGTAGATGTTTCTTTCAGGCAATTTACATTGAAGTTCAATGCCGTTTATTGGTCCAGGTCAAATTTAGGCATCCGGTTAGCTCAATAGGTAGAGCGTTGTACTGTGAATCGGGCGACCTGGGTTCAATTCCCGGACGGCGCAGGTCACTGCCGTTGAGTTGATCATGAAATCCTGTCTAAGGTCATTCGCAGTGTAACTATGACCTCTGCTCTTGCATGTACAGCAGTATTTTTTTTTTTTTGGGGGGGGGGGGGGGTTACGTCATATCGACACAGTATAGGTCATTATCGCGACGTTCCAGCTTTACTGGTGGAGGAAGACCTCAGGTGCCCTTCCGTGCATTACTTCAGGCACAAACGGGCACCTTAGTAGAACCACCGACGTTCCGTAAGCTAGCTGTAATCAGTTCCTTACGAAAGTAAACAGTTAGTACAGGTGAAATGCTTGACTGCCTGTCCAGGAACGATGCGGTGGCTGAATTATGCTCTGGTAAATACAATTATTCCTGTCAAGCTTCATTAAAATTGCATGAAAGGTTTGAAATAAAACAGACAAACAGACGGCCAGACAGCCTCAAATTAGTATACCACACATATAATTGTCGTTGAGCTAGGGGATAAAAGCCTGTAAATAATAAATACGGACAAAATTTGACTCAAGTAATAGTCATCATTATATGATGTAAAACATCAGCAAACTCTTTGGTGAGAAAAAAATTATTAATCATAATCACTGAATGAAGTTTCATATTTACTGTCTGAATTGGATTTATAAATAGAGCAGACTCATATTCAATGACAATATATCGTAGGCTGTTAACTTTAAGTGCTCATGGAATTTAATTGCTGCCTTTTGTTTTTCTCGATACAAATATCATTACTTATTATAGTTAATAGTTACACCCCATTGATGACATATATTCTGTAATTACGTTAGGTTGTGCTGCGTTCGTGTAACCGTTTAACGTCTGATGTTATTTTTACTTTCGCGCATCTTTTACCCGTTCTTCTATCCAAGCAGTCGAAAGTTGCTGCGTTCTTCATTCCACATAACACATTACAATTTGTGATAATCATATAAGAAACAAAAAAGAAACAACAACAAATATTAATGACTAGTGAGTCGTTTAATATGATGCAATATTAACCGGGGCAACATGAAATTCTGCTTGTGAATATCACATCCTCAAATATAATATAAAGATAGCATTGGAATGCATTTTCCCAACTGGTTAATACGTAACTCTTGTTAGTTGTTCTTTTATTATATTATTTTAAAAGTATATTAACCGTTTTTGATCCTGGAAATCAGCCAAAGGACGCGATGATATTAGTTGACGTAAGGAATTAATTCTGACGAAAATTTGGCGAAAGGCATTAATAAAAATCAAAGTTGTCGTTTAAAAATTAGGCGTTCCAGTGCGTTCTTTATATATATATTTATTATGGATTAAATAATTATGCTTCTGAACACGGCGCAAAATAAGTAAATAAATTTGCGCCGTGTTCAGAAGCAGACTTATTTAATCCATAATAAAACTATTTGTGAATTATAATTATAATTATAATAAAACAGATATGTACATTTTAGCTGGAGAATATGGTGTGGTATGTTCTTGAAAAGTAATTTTTGCCGAGGCGACATTACTTTTTTACCAGTACATACCACATCATATTCTACAGCAAAGAAAGTCAATATTTGTATAATATTCAATGGCTTGTCAATAGTTGTATAGTAACCGTTATGCTGCAAGTTCATCAAAGCGATACGGAATATGTGTCAAGCTGCTCTAAATTTAATCAAATTTTTAATCAACATTTACCGTCAAAATCAAAGTCGGTAAACTTAAAAAACCAAGTAGATAAATTTCCTGTTCATTCGCCGATATCAAATTTGATAAATACTTCCTTCCGCAATTATATTTATATGTATAGACATTATGGTCTAAAATTTACTTAAACGAATGATAAGTGAATGCGAATAAATTTTAGTACCTACACTTGCAATACTTTGTAAGTTTTTTTTTAAACAAAATCATATTATAAGTGTAACACAAATTCATTATTTCAATTGAAATTGAAAGTTGTAAAATACCACTACTCGTATTAATGCCAAAACAATATCGAGTTTTAGTGTGAAAAGTTGTAATTATGTTTATTTCTCCTAATTAAGAGTATAATTTCCAACATTAAGATTTTACACGAGACCGTTCTGTACCAAAACAATTTTGAAGACATTGTCAGTTAATAAGAGATTTTTGACCATGCGACCACATACACGCATCGAGGACATTTTGTAAGGAACGTGACCGTGCGACCACATACACGTACCACAGGATTCCCCTTCCCTTCCGAGAAAGGGATAAAGACCTATGTGCCCCTTAATTATAGGGCAGACTGACTTCGTGTGCCACTAGCTTATTGTTAGTGTACCAAGTGCAAAACTTGACCTTTATTCGCTGCTAAGAAAGGTCCATTACATTATTCGTATAACATATTTTTATATAAGAATATTTCATTTACAAACAAAACATGGTTCTAATGATAATGAAGTTAACCAATGCAACTTGAATCGTTTTACCTTCTGTAATGTACTCTGGTGGAATACTTGGGTCGTAACGATTAGGATTGAGTAGTGCTTCTAATAGATCATGTCTTAAAAAAGATCATATGAACAAATTTTAAATAAGCAGGGTTTTATCACATGTCATACTCTTTTTTTAAATATGATGAAAATAAATATGTTTTTAAAAAAGAAAGTATAAAATGTAAATTTACAAATAACACAACTCTTTTATTTAAATGTTAAAATAACTTTATGAATTATCTATAATTATAAACATTTTTCTTATGGCATTTCAGATATAATTTTAGTTGCGCTTATTGTTTCATATGAACATAAAAAGAAACGATAAAAACTCACTTGGATATGTTCGATTGAATGTAGTAACAGTCTACGATTTTTGTTAAACACATCATTAACACTGTAATAAAGATAAAATTGACAACTGTGTTGATCGCCATTGAACGATGCCTCAAGCCGACGTTTCTTGTACAATTTCTCATAACTTTAACATCCATAACATTGCAAAATGTTGTTTATGAACAGTTTTACTTTACTTCTCATTTGATTGTTTTCCGATTTTTAACCCCCAAAGAAAACTGTTTTCCCTTAAAATGTTTCACTCTTTTTTCCTACTTAACCTACAAACAAAAACCGAACAAAAAACAAACAAGACCTCGTTGTCGAGTTAAACTTTTATTTATCTCTCTTTACTTTGACTTAACTTTATGCGTTACAAATAAATCATATAATAGTCACATTGAAAAGAAACTAGAATAAAATCCACTGTTTAAAATGTATTCAATTTATAAATTATCCATTAACTATCATAAGCACTTGAATACCACTTAAAAACGAGGAAATACTACTAAACAATTGCAATAGCTTGATCTAAATTTTCATTTACATTGCTAAACAAAGATAGACATCAGTCATTTAGCTCTATAAATTGTGCATGATGCAAGATCTAGGCGTAACAATGATATGATTTTAAAGATGATAAGTAGAAACATTTGCATGATGATGTAATAACGGAAAAAATATTTTTTCCATTATTACGTTTCTTGTTTTAGTCATCAATTTTAAGGAAATTCATTGAGTTAATATAGGTCGTTTTGGGCACTAAACAGTAATATATTAAAACATCAATTTAAAATCACAATTTGTGCTATTATTTTACCTTTTTGAATGAAACGCTTTTCAAGTCTGGACTGGTTTTCATAATTTGATATATTATGAAAGAAACAACGGAGTGAGAGAATGATGTGAAATTTTGCACACAAATTATTGGGCTGGATCTACATCAAATGGAACATATATCTCAAAAAACATTTTTGCATCTCCGTAATGTCAAAAAACTAACAAAATTCCCGTTCTCAAATTACGAGAAAAAATCCTCACTGATGACATAAATTTATCATGATTAGATCCTGGTATATCTTCAAAGGCAAAACAATTAAAAGATGTTATGTTGTTATGTTTTTATTTCTTTCTAGATAAGATCTAAATTTCTAATTTATCCAAGAGTAACAGGTACCAAAAATCTGGAAACAAAGTGATCCCTCGGAAGCATTAATCCTTAAAAACATGAAGATAGCAGACTCTGTTTGATTGAGTTCGTACTTGAGGGATAATGAATAAGTGCAACATCCCTCACGCCCCCTAGCCCGAGCGACACCCAACTCTCAACACTTAATAGTACTAACATCAATGATCCCGAAGGACCAGAAAAATATAACAACACTGAAGTGAAGTGCGAGTAACTTCTTACAGCTGCCACACGGTACTTGACACCTGCCGTTGTGAAACATAAAATTCTGGGAAACAAAGTGATCCCCAGAAAGCATTAATCACAAAAAATTACATGAAAATGCAGACTCGATTTGAATGAGCGCACATGAGGGATAATGAATAAGTGCAACTTGTAATCCGATTGCATAAATTGCATGACAGAGAATAACTTACATGTATCGAGCAGAGGTTTAATACCCTGATTTTAATATGAAATTACAAAAGTAAATATTATAATTTAAAAGTAAAACACAGAGTCGAATGAAGAATTAATGTTTGCGGTGACTATTGGCTATAAAACAGCGATTTGGAGTTTTGATGCATACAGTGTTGACTTTTATCCCAGCAAAATATGTGTAAGATAGCTAATGTACACCATACAGCGAACATTTATTCCGCTGCCAATGTTTTATATGTGGCTGTTCTTTTCTACACCCTACTGTCGCTAAGATAATAAGGAAAATAAATAATAAGATAAAAAGCCGTATCATTTTTAATTATCGTGTATTTATTTATTCTCCATATATTATTATAAATATATCAATTACTTACATATAAAAAAAGCTTTTTTATATTTTTTTCGAAGATGTTAGATAAACCTATTTTCATCACCATCTATTAAAGGAAAGTTTCAAGATCTAAAGTGTTATCATTCTTGCGCTGTTTGTGAAAGAGTTGTGTCCTGGATTGAAGTATGATAGTAGCCTTAATGATTTTGTGCTGTAAAAAAACTGTAAATCTATTTAGCAGCAACCCCTTTTTCACAAAAAGATGTACAAAAAGAATTTAATCCAATTGAATTCAAGATGGCTGTCACACTAAGAATAAAGAAAAGTCATAAAGAAGGTCCGTCAGTCTTGTACTGCTATCTAAAAATATTTTATAGTCCTGGATAATTTAAAATCCGTTGTACAAGCCAAGTAATGGCATTCAGTACATGAAACATATGACTTGAAGTATTTTACTGCGTAACGACACAAATGTCTATAATTACAACTAACTGAAAGTTGTTATGTCAAATATACATGTTTCCATAAATAACATAATAATAATAATAATAATAATATGTGTAAACGGTACGGTGCTAGGCGACATAAAAATTGAAGAGTGATTTGCAAAATAACAAGGTTTCTAGTTATAGGGACCTGACGGGATCCGAACTGACATTACTTAGTTCCGGGCGGGATCAGAGCTGACAATTCCTAGTCCCTGTCAGGATTCGAAGCTCCAATGATGAAAAGCAAGTGACTGAAATTCGGCCATGCATCTCCCGACACCCGACCCCTTTTTAAAAAATTCCTGAATACAGATATTCTGCTTGATACACTTATAATTGTATAAACTATATGATATTTAACTGTATGATTTGATAAACTTGTGTATTTTCCAGAAGGACGTCATCAGCAGTGTTCGTCAGTCCTCATTATAGACAGTGGTTCTAAACATTGTAAATTCCTTGTTTGTAAAAGAAATAATCACTTATAATTTCAGGCAAATTCCATAGAAACCGATAGGTGTATTTGGCATCTGTGCCTACAAGGTACCTAAATAATACAAAATAAAAGCATAAATTAACTTTACGTACTACATATTTCTATCTCATATATTGATAAAATTGTATATATATGCTGTTTGATACATTGTACTATATAAAAAGATAACATTTAATATATGAGCACATTTGCGGGCAGATGTTTCAAATTTCAAAATTTTACCAGTTCACGCCAAGTGTTGAATCCTGCTTAAGCTAGGGCTAGGTGAAGGTGGGGCGTGAACAGAAGCTTGCAATTAGTTTTTTGCAGCTTACTCCGATGTGGACAGCGGACGATGGACTACTGATCATTTTCAGGGGTTTCCTCAAAATAATAATACTGAATATAATTTAATGTTAAAGGGTAAGTAAATGATAATAAACTATCCAGTTTTAAAATTTATGTTAATAGTTCAAACCAATTTCTTTCCGTCGGCAAACAAGTCCGTTACATATTATTACAGTTTTACTAAAAAAAATTCTTGAATGTCTCCACACCGAGCTTATAGCACGGTAAACTTGAGATCGGAAATTGCATGTTCCACAGTCACCCTGTATGATTTTACATACCTATTATATTTTCTACTTGTGACCAAATATATATATAATATACCGTGTATATTAAGAAAGACTTTTAACAACCCAGAACAAGTGAAATGGTGAAAATAATGAATGTTCATTAAAATGGAAATAAAGGTTGAAAATTATGTTTCGGCTATGGAAATAATAAAACTCCTGACAAATAAATGCGATAAAATATAAGTTTTATAAGAATACAATATTAGACTATAAAATAGTGACTGCTGTTAAAAATTTGAATCAATGAATATGTTTCGTTAAAATACATTTCACTTTGTAGCAATTGACAACCCGGACCTGCTCCAAGACCGGCAACAGTGGCAGCCTCTCCAAGACGGCAACCGTGGCTGCCTCTCCAAGACGGCACCGTGGCTGCCTCTCAAAGACCGGCAACGTGGCTGCCGCTCCAAGACCGGCAACCGTGGCTGCCGCTCCAAGACGGCAACCGTGGCTGCCTCTCCAAGACCGGCAACCGTGGCTGCCTCTGCAAGACGGCAACCGTGGCTGCATCTCCAAGACCGGCAACCGTGGCTGCCGTACCAGACCGGTTACCGTGTCTGCCTCTCCTTGACCGGCAACCCTGACTGCCGCTCCAAGACCGGTGTCGCGTAATATTACCACGCGTGTGATTATTACGCAGGGTCGTAATTATCACACGGTTTGGGGTAGTGCCGTGATAATCACACGGACGGTATTATATTTACACTTAATATTCTTGAATTATATATCATTTTTTTCCTAAATGATTTCCGCGTCTAATGGTGTAAATTTTATTAAAAAGCTATGATTTTCCACCGCATAGGGGTATCTTAAAGTGTAAACTTAAGACAGAAAATGTTCTTTCCTAAATATCAGCGTGCAATCTTTCGATACAGACATTAATATAAATAATGCCTGATACAATTGAAAAATATTTTTCAGTTTAGGTTTCTCTGTTTTAAAATAGTTAAAAAAAAGTCTGTTTCATGGATTTCCCTCCGTTTTTTTTTTTATATTAGTCCCCCTTTTTAGCTGAAATATATAAATTAAGTCTTATTTGTTGCGCTTTGTGTGTTTGCATGCAATTCAAGATAATAGTAAAATCCAAAATTAAATGAAAAGAATAAATAAATAATAAATAAATAAATAAATAAATAAATAAAAGGAAGACTCGAAATGGCAAAGATCTAGTTATAGTAATGGTGTGAAAAAGGGTTAAGTATACGGAAAGCAGAGGTCCATGAAGGTGTGAATTCTTTTTTAATTGGCATGACATTTCCATAATATTAAACTTATATAAAAACCACGTTCCGTTTTGATACACCAAAGAATGTACATGTGTATATGCTGTCAATTGACTCATGAACCTGAAAAAAGTGTTGATCTGTATAACTTCGAAGTTATATTTGTTGATTATGAACTTTCCCGCTATAGTTTATATATTGTGTGATATTTATATATGGTTCTTAGCCTCGTTTATTATGTTTATTGCAAATGTATTATTATCTCATGTTGTCATGTTTGCATGATCTGAGTGGAATAAAGAATAGAATAGCAATGTAACTCAGAAATATTTCAGGGATATGTTTGCGAAAGAATTGTCAATTATTTCAGAAATATGCATTACATATATATCATTATAGAAGTTTTCAACAAATAAGACATCAACACTACTTCAGTAGTTTATGAAAAATAAAAAAGATTGCTTTCGTATTTCATATAATGAATATGAAATTTTCTCAATTCCAACAGTTTTCACGTGAAATGTAAAAAAGGCACAATTAAGGATTCGCGCTAAATACATAATATAATATGATATAAAAGTAAGTTAAATTCAGTATGTTAAAACTAGCTCTTATTATTCATCAGTGTACGTTAAGAATTTGATAACACATCTTCTAATCTTAAGGTAAAGATAAATTGGTGCAGGTTGATGCTGGCTAAATAAAGGGGAAAACATGTAAGCTATATAATAAGGGTATTGTTGTTTCAATGCTACTTAATTACGATAACCCTCTTAGTAACAAAAGCTATTCATTGTGTTGGTGATGAATTTCGCTCTAGTGGTGTGTGGTAATAACGTGATGATCACACGTACGGTCATATACTTAATCAGACATACTGGTAATACATTTTTTTCCAAAAGGTTTTCCGCAATATAATTTCTTTTTCAATAATACGGCATTTTATGGATTTCTTTTTTATGACAACAAGACGACCAATCGTAATGAATAATCATAGTTTTGTTTTTAAGGTTTTTTTATTACAAAGAAAATATCTTTCAATGACGATAGTACTGGTACTGACCACATTGAATGGCAATGATGATATTGGTTGTCGCCATGCAGCTCCACATAGTAATGATGACCCTCTTAGTAATTATAATAATCATTGTGTTAGTGATTATGAGAAATATTTCCACCAGTGTGATTATTACGCTACAGCTTTAATATTACCACGCGTGTGATTATTACGCGGCGGCGTAATAATCACACGGTTGGGGTAGTGCCGTTAGAATCACACGTACGGTCTAAGATTTACTCCAAAATGGTTAAATCATACACCATTTTATTTAAAAATGAATTCCGCATCTAATAGTATAATTTTTGTGAGAATTAATTAATTTTCTAACACACGGGAGTGTTTTAAAAAGCATGTATTGCAGCGATTTTTAAATAATTATGACAACCTTCGTTATGAATAATTATAATTATTATTATGTTCTGATAAATATTTTTTTTAAAGTTTTAGTTCTAATTTTAGAATGTGTTATATTTATCGTGTTTTCACTTCGTGTTCAAGACAGTTGTGATTTTAAATATTGATAATAGCTATGTGTGATTTTTATATTTTGCCAGGGATGTAAATAGACAATCATTGATGTGTCATTTTTCCATTTGAGAACATTGAATACACACATTCGCATCCAACAGGTTAAGTATAAGACAAAACACAGTTGTGATTAGGATGATAAATGGGCAACGGTAAAAATATATGTACAAATGAGCCAAAATTGTTTAATTTCAGAATAATTGATTATTGACAAAGTTACGTCCCCTTTATAAAACTACCTCATTAAATAACTGCTCACGAGTGTATTTTTTTATTTAGACTGTAGTTATATTTATATATTTAGTGCTTGGAACATATTAATACATACGTAAAAGTGAAGGGAGTTCAATGAGAAGGTTATTGATATATATTTAAGGTCACGGGGTTCTACTGACTATTCAAGCAACGTTGACACAAATTTTACAATTTGAATTTTCAACTGTGTTCAATTTATAAAGTGGTTCGGTTCTGTGACCAGCGTGTGATTATTGTGCGGCGGCGTAATAAGGGCACGGTTATGGGTAGTGCCGTGATAATCACACACACGACTTTATGGGCACGGTTATGGGTAGTGCCGTGATAATCACAGACACGACTTTATAATTAATCAGTTTTATCCGAATGATAAATGATGATTATTGTATTCTAAAACCAGTTCTGCGTTTAATGGTAATTTTTTTTTAGAATTCTACTATTTGTATTACCACGCTTCGTTATAATCACACGGTTGGTAGTAGTGCCGTGATAATCACACGTACGGTCTTATGTACACTCCAAATAACACGAAATACTTTTAAATTATATAGATCTGTACCATTTTATTCCAAAATAAATTCCGCATCTAATGGTATAACTTTTGTGCGAAAACGCGGGAATGTATTAAAAAAGCTCATTTTACTGGAATTTTCATTTTCATATGAATACATATAATTGTGTTTTATTTTTCTGGTATATAGTTTATAAATAAAAAAACTTAAAAAGCCACCAGACGTTAAAAAATATTTGATTTAGTGCAGTTTGATAAAGTGATCAAGATAATGTTCTAAATCAAAGCACTGCAAGCACTGAGGTATACATTTGCTTCACATTACGGCATCCAGTCTTGCATAAGGATTTTTCATAAAATCATCATAAATTACTGTTCAGGAACAATAGATATTTTATTAAATAACAAGAATTTGTAACAGAAGTACCAGGGCCCCCGCCTCGGGTAAGTTTTATATGAAGCATAAAATTATGCTGTTTCAAAAGATTGAGGTATGGATCTTAGGACTTTCAGTCCAAAATTATGGTCAATGCTAGATCTGCAAATGCAACAATAAATTAATTAAAGAAGTAAAATGAATGTTAAGCTTTGACCTCTAAGTGTGACCTTGACCTTGGAGGTAGGGGTACAGGTGTTGTGCATGACATATGTTATTATTTTAACCATTTGTATCAAGTATTTTTAAAATCCCTTGAACTATGAAGAAGTTATAGATGGGACACAAAATGTACCCTCTTACAGACTATGTTAATCTTTGACCTCCAAGTGTGACCTTGGAGGTAGGAATCCATGTTTTGGGCCTGACATATCGTCTTATTTGATATCAAAGTTAATGCAATATAATGACGCATACGTACTTAATCAGTTAATAGAAAGTATATAGATCACATTTTAACAGAATTTGTCCGCCATTTTGAAAAACGGCCGAAGGATACAAGCCGCTTTAAATCGTGTTATTTATAATTATGGCCTTTGTTGATTAAAAACAATCATTGAATTGTGAATATTAAAATATCTGGCAAGTTATTAGACCTTTATTCTTAAGAATAAATGTGTATGGTAATGAATGACAAGTTTTAAATTTAAGGTACCCTTTCGGGCAAAATTTTCGGGTAATTTGACCTAGTTTTCGGAGAAATTGGCCATTTTCAACTACAGCTTAAGATTAGTTCTAGCCAATTTAGAAATAAAACAATGGATAAGAAACAAAGTTTAACACCCCTGACAAGTTTTAAAAGCATTTATTTTCATGAATTTAATACTTTTAGAACCTTGCAGGTTTTTTAAAAATGCCCTACGAAAGATGCAAAATTTGGCGATTTAGCTCAATTTCACGCATATATTCTGGAGAAAATGAATACTGTCAGAATATTCAAATAATTGTTCTATGCTGAAGATTTATACCAATTTTCACAGCGCTTTGTTTGTAAATAAAGTTACAGGCAAGTTTTAAAAAACATGAGAAAACCGTGGTAAAATTACGCCCGTGTGATTATTACGCGACACCGGCAATCGTGGATCAACATACCGGAGAGAACAACAATGACAGAGGCAGGGGTAGAAAAGCCACTAGCAGCACTGATCAGAGAAAACCAGCTGGTATACAACAAGTTTACCACAAAGAAAGTTCCCAAATTATTTAGAGAACTTGGAGTCAGCTCTGATGATGAATGAAACAAATAAAAAATATATAAATGCACCATGTCAAATACATTATGACAATAAAATGTCATATAAATAATAACGTGTTTTTGTCGCTATTACCAGAAATATTGTAACTCCCGATACGCCCATGCATAGATGAGAAAGTTAAATGTTCTGAATTTTCACTCTTCTCAGTCCACAACCATTTTGAGAAATTCCCCGCAACATTTGTTCGTTATCAGATGTCCACTGTCCGCGTCAGAGTAAGCTGCAAAAGTCTATTACCAGTACCGTACATGAACAAGCCCAATCAAACCGCGCCTGCATCAACTGTTATTATTCCATGTTGGGATTTCTTCAGGGATTCTGTTTTCTTTATTAATCTAATATGTGATTAATCAATTCATGGTGAACCTCAAGTCTTACTTAAATTTGCGCTCATCGATTTTTTAACTTCATGTTCAAGTGATTTGTATTAGAAACCATGTGAGCTCTAGATTGATTCCTTTTATGTATACATATGCTTTGAAATTTTAAGGAGATTCTACACACGTTATGTTTATTACACTTAAGCGGAACAGAAACATATCGAATATAGAAAAACGTAATCCCTAAAGAACACCAAAAGCGAGGAAACTGAAAATGTTGCAGGCTCGGTTTGATTTAGCCTGTTCATGGACGGTAATGGAAAATGCAAGTTACCGTCCACGCCCCCTAGCAAATACAATAAACTAACAATATACAAAGTAAAGGTCAAAATATGAGACCTGTCACTGTAGATGCGTTTAGCTATTTGTTTTGTTATCTTTGTAGTCGATACAATATTATTCAGATTTTGCTAAAAAAGTTAATAAAATATTACAATGTTTGATATTACCTTTTTCTTGGAAACTTAGCTGTTATCGCATGGATGTATGCGTCAACAACAAGATTATATTGTGTTGATCCGGTTTCCTCCAGAATCTTGTAAGGTGCTACCACTGCAAAAAAGTGAATGGTGTTTTCCAAAAACAGTAATTCCTACATAAAAAGTATTATTGAACATAAATGGGGAAACAGGAAGGAAAATTATGGTTGAAGACACTGAAGGGTTTAAAACTATTTTGAAACCAGTCTAACATGACGACCTTTTAAAAATTTTAACCTGCTATTATTAAATGAAATGTTAAAATATTATCAATGCTTAGAACACAGTTAATTTATCCAGGTAGGTCGGCAACTACTTTCTATTTCATACTCTTTTATGGCTCAATAATGATAACATACACTTATTCATCATACTTTCTTAAATCAAAACAGCATGCCTTTAGATTTTTTTCTATTTTTATCAAAATTTTGAAAATGCATTTTTAAGTAAACTATTGTAAAGTAACCAATACATTGTAAACAGCATTTTACAATCCAGATATGTAAGAGGTCAAAATATGCATTCCTAACTGCGCAAGTGACAAGTAGAAATATATTGATAGATATTAACTAACCTATACATAACTATCATGTAAATTATTACTTGAAGTTGAAGTTCTCTAAAAAATCTTAGTAACGTTTTTTTTTTTTTTCTAAAATTTTATGTTTGCATGAAATGTTAGGCTTATATGGGGGCATGCAGTTTCAGTCATAATGTAAAAGCATATGGATAGAGATTACATACCAGAGTGATGGTAGATGTAAAGATCCCTAACCTGTGTAATTTTAATTATCACAGAATGGTTAACAATACGAATCATTACAGCATATTTTTAACAAAAGATCACATTTCAAGTTGAGTTGTAAAAACTATTATTATTCCTATTACAGGTGAAAGTTTGGCACTATCAATAGGCTGTATATTTTCCGGGTTAATATTTAAGGTCAAAGTAAACAGAATATGGCCGAACTAAAGGCCTAGAAGTTCAATATAAAACGTACTTTTGTCCGCAGCATCATCGGAAAACTGTGATTTTATCTCGGCAGGTAAACTCGCAATTTTGTTGACACTCATCTGTTTGAGAGGTTTCCAAATGGGAGTTTTGAATGCTCCTGGCTCGATGATTTGTACTTTGGCACCAGTTCTATAGATCTCTCTTCTATTAAATATAAATTGAGAAAAAAAGTGCAAAATTTTCAATCATATTTAAAATGTGATTACATAGCTGTGTTAAATGATTTAGATCTAATATCCTTTACGAACGGCAAACATGTTCAATTCCAGGTTAAACTTTAATTGTTGATAAATTAAAATATATAAAATTACAGTCGGACCACGCTTATTCGAAAACCCATTATTCGAATACCCATCATTACCCGTTTAGATCGGCGTTCCCGATTTTATCTCTATATAAATCTATACAAATACGAACGTGTAGATTAAATCAGGCAATTTAATAAGAAACCATTCCTGTAACATGGATATAAATGTCAAGCAGTTTTGGTTTCTTTCCTATATTTCCTTCATTTTTCTTTGATAATTTTAACAATATTGATAAATTAAATTAAAGAAATTTCAATAAATTGGTTACACAATTTGAGAAGCAAATTCAAGTTTACTAGAGATAACGTAAAAAATGTCTAGATCTTATCTGAAGTAATAAAAAAGTAAGCTATTAAGATTTGTTGCCCCACTGAGGCCTAAAACCTCCAAACAATGGCAAAACATAGATCAACTGGACCGCCTTATAATGACAAAATAACCAAACGATAATTAAGATATGTATATATTAAATTGAAAGCCATTTTTGTACGGTTTTAACCCGAGATACGAGCATTTAAAAAAAAAAAGAAATTTGCCAGCACTCCATAAAATGGAAAACAATTTTTTTGGATTAAAATGTTTAGTTCAATGATGTTCAAAATCCTCAGTACGTAGAACAGCATTCAGATTGTTTATGTTTGAAGCTTTCCTTTACCTTAGAACATCAGAAAAAGCCTCAACACCATATTTGGAAATAGTATAAGAAGAATTTATGAAAACATTCAGATTGTTTATGTTTGAAGCTTTCCTTTACCTTAGAACATCAGAAAAAGCCTCAACACCATATTTGGATATAGTATAAGAAGAATTAAAGAAACCAACTCTTCCTGCTATACTTGAAGTGTTCACAATTCTCCCCTGTTCTTGAAGAACTAACGGCAGGCACGCTTTCGTTACCATGATAACACCGTATAAATTAACAGCAAGTGTATTCTCGTAATCCTGTCTTGTATGAAGAATGGTTGGTCCTATTCCCCCAAGTATACCTGCATTGTTCACTACTGCCCATAAACCTAAATATGTAAAATAGAGAAATACAGAATCCCTAAAGAAAGTCCAACTGGACAAAATTGAAAATGTTGCAGGTTTGGTTTGAGCCTGTTCATGGACGGTACTGGAAAGTGCAAGTTACCGCCGACGTCCCCTAACACCGGCTTAAGCAGATTTCAACATTAACACGAAATTGGTAAAATTTTGAATTTAGAAACATCCACAGATGTGTTCATACGGCGATTATCATGGAACCTTTAATGTGACACAGTAGTGCCATCCATGAAAAGCAGTGTATGGTCCACAAGTAAAAGAATGCGTGTGCCCTAAACGAGAAAACAATGGGCGAAACAAAATAAAATGGACTTTTGAAAGGGGATTTGAGTTTATGAAGCCTCATATCACAGATAAAATGGACTATAAAAGACAATTTAAAAGATTTCACACTTAATTTACAAAAACGATTGGTTTAATGTTAAATGCTAAGGAACGTAAACGGTAGGTTGCTTGTATCGGTACTGTCAATGAGCAAACATAATCTGCATAATTTCATTTGTTCCGGTTTAAGTGTCTTTTAAGGAATCAGTTTATTTCCATTTTAAGATCATCTATAATAGTGTATTTGTTTAAAAACTTACATACTCTTGCGGATAATGCAGAATACTTTCGTTTCATGCATTTTGAAAAGAAAGCAAATAGTGCATATATTTTCTAATCTGATGGGTTGAATTGTTTAAGTTGATAGTGATGTTTATAGTGATATTTGCAAGGGTACGCAGAGCGACTATCCAAAACAATTTCATGCAAACAATGCGATAAAGTCAATCATTGTTATCCTTTATTGCGTGTCATCGTTACAATGAGTGCAGAAAATCTGAATAATGCCGAAGGACTTTGATTTTTTAATATTGCTCGTAAGAACATAACCGTTATGCCACTAGTCAATCCTTACTTACAAGTTTTGGAAGACGCAAATGTGAATCCTGATGTAAGTATTTCTTTAGCAAAAATTACTTTCTTCATCAGAATAGAGAAACACAGAATCCCTAAAGAAAGCCAAACACGGCAAAGTTGTAAAATGTTGCGGGCTCAGTTTGATTGAGCCTGTTCATTGGCGGTACTTGAAAGTGCAATTTACCGTTCACGCCCCCCCCCCTTGCACCGGCTTTAGCAGAGTTCAACATTTAAACACAAAAATGGTGAAATTTTGAATTTAAAAACATCCGCAGATGTGTTCAAGAAAACTCTTGCGGATAAGAAAACTTTTACGTTTATATGAAATAAAAATTGAGGATACACTAGCTGATACTTTCATGAGGGTACACATCTATTGACAAAAATGTCCAATAACTTGCAACAAACACGAACAAACTTTTAGACACTGTAACAAATAAAATAAAACCATGTGTTGGTGCGACGTAAACACGAATAATAAAGATATGAGTATATTTGTGTAAAATATAAAAAAGATTGATAGTTCATAGATTTCTTTATATAACTATGCTGCGTCACTTAAAAGGTTTTTCATGTTTAAAGATCCTGCAACACATTTTTTATGGTTTTAAATCATAAATATGATGCTCAAATTAAACTTTATCAATATTGTAGGTAACCAAAAGAATTATTCATAAAGACATTACTGAATTTTACATTTCATGTAAATAAAGGGAGGTAATAAAAAAATATTTTCACAAAGTTTAAGTCAAATTTTACATTAACAAATGAATGCATATAAATTTAAATGATACAGTCATATAATATGCACAAATATTTGCATCAATATTTTACATATTCTTCATATGTTTGAAAATTGTTTAAGTTGCATAATTATGTACATATATATAATTTCACTTAGTGTGGTTTACCACTTTGATCACAACATACAGGATCTTAAAGAACTCCATAGAGGTGTTTTAACAATACGACACTTGAAATATATTTTGGAGATTTTGAAATTTTATGTTTTATGCTTTGGACCTTAACGTTACCTGTAACGTAACGTAATATTTAAAATAATTTTCAAGCTTAAACACATGTTGGAAACTTACGACAACAAATAAATATTAATATCTGAAACATATAATATTTATATTTACGTAATTTTATGAAATATATATCTTAAAAAGAAAATCATCACCTTTTTCATTTGGTAAACTCCGTTTAACTATTTCCATCGTCTTTTCAATACTTGCATCCTTTGTGACATCCATTTCTATCGCTTTCAATTTCGAAGAACTTGTTTCATTGAATTTCTCAACTGCAGATTTTGTAAGGCAACAAGCAAACACATTAAATCCCATTTTATCTAGCTTCTTTGCTAACTCAAAACCGAAACCCGAGTCGCACCCTGTTACCAAAACAAATCGTTTGTCGAAGTTGTCAATTTTTAGTTTTCTCAGAAACCATTCCAAGATATATGCAAACGATAGAGCAATGCAGATAATGGTAAGAATATCCATACTTAAATCCACTCGTGAAGTCGAATACTCACTTAATATATTAAACCTACACAGCTATAATTATGGTTGAAAAGTTTGGGCGGATTATATCGACTCGTCCAACCTTGAAATAAATCTAAGTTTTAAACACATAAAACTTGACAGAAGGATACGATACGCGTCAATGAAATTCTATACTGGATTATAATCACTTCGAAGTGTATCATTTTATTTTCGTGATAAAAAGAACTTCAGCATCAATTGTCATACAAATATCAAAGCAACTATTGTATTTTTACCATTGACATAATTGATATTATAATATTCTGTCATGAACTATATTGATGATTTTGATTAGATGTATACCTTATTTACATTTAAGTTTCAGAACGATTCGTCTTCACTCAAGGGTATAAAGTAATATATTATGAACTACTTCAATTAAATTTATTAACAGCAAAATGATATTGTTTTCACAATCTTATAGTTGATTCTCGTAAATGTCACATAAAATGTCTTTTTTAGCACATATGAATAATGTACGTTATTAGAATAAAGTGTCCTGGGTCAGAATATAATGCTGCTATTACAAGTTGGTTTTTAACAGTTTAACATTAATTTCGTGCACTTGTCATTCGCTATTAATGCTATTAATTACTATCTTTCATTGTGCAATCATTTTGGAAAGTATTAGTTTTTTTTAAATTTAAACAATACTTTTTATAGCAGAAATAAATTATGCACTATTAATAAATATCGATGATTAAAATTTATATATATATATATATACTATGCATAACAAGTTGCGCTTTCAAATCGTTGAATGGAATTTGCACAGTCAAGCAATTCAACAAAATACCACTCCGTTTACACTAACTTGCAGATAAATATTCGAGATTTCGAGCAATAAAATCTACGGTTTCAATTTGTTTTACTTTTTGATGTTTTCTGTAACTTTGACAATATTTATAAAGCCAGTACATGCAAATATCAATGAATTGGCAATAAATTTATTATAAAATTTAATCCAGTTCAGTAGAAATACCGTTGAGAGTTAACGTTTGGGAATTGTTTATCTTTACATTAACTGCTGACAGGTGTTGCGTTCAAGGGGTTCCACTAAAATTACCTTTGAGTGTAATTTTTTAAAATTAAAATGATAAGTCTGAAAAACGAAAAACGTACTTAACCGTAGTGAATAATTGATATTATCATATCCTACACAAATGGTATACAAGTCTTGAAAAGATAGTCAACTGCTGTAAATAAGATTAATTGGGTCCCTTTTAACGTAGAACAACCTAAAGATTGTTTATGTTTGAAGATTTCCTTTACCTTAGAACATCGGAGAAAGCCTCCACATCATATTTGGAAATAGTATAAGAAGAATTAAAGAAACCAATTCTTCCTGATATACTTGAAGTGTTCACAATACTAACCCGTTCTTGAAGAGCGAAGGGCAGGAAAGCTTTTGTTACTTTTAAAAACCGTTTAAATTAACAGCAAGTGTATTCTCGTATTCTTGTCTCGTATGAAGAATGGTTGGTCCTATTCCACCAAATATACCAGAATTGTTCACTCCTGTCCATAAGCATACAAATATAAAAGTTTAAATTCCAAAGACAAAACCAATGATGGTTAAATGTAGGGTGCTTAAGCTCTCTGTTTGTTTGGATATAAACGGCGAAACAACACAGTTAAGGCAATATGGCGCCAAAACAGAACAGGAAAATGATTTAGGTGACTTCAGGGGTTGCTAACTTAGAAGCAACGCATAGTGTCTAAACCACATGACCTGCTGGGCCTAAGAGCTTCATAGACTCGAATTATGCGAACCCATTTTATCACCGCTTACGATCACGCATGGATATACGGTGGCTGGAATTCTTGTGCCTCAGTCATTGTAGGCAACAGGCTTTGTTTAGTTGATAATTTGCTTTTATTAATATCAATTATAAAACAGAGCCTGATTCATTTTCAATTTTGCCGTTTTGAACGCTCTTTAAGGAATCAAATACATATTTCTTTTTAAGACCACCTAATAGTATTTTTCTAAATACAATGAAAATATGATAACGCAAATACACTTGCCGATAAAAAATGTGTTTTATTTTTTCTGGTACTTAAGAAACAATTTGCATGGATGTGCTAATCTTATGGTTTGTATCACTTGAGTTGATTGTGTAAATAAAAGTATTCGCATTAGTCCTCCTATTAACAGACAAGACACTGAACGTTAGTGATGATACCAATCAGGAGTTTTCCTTTTCATTCAAATGAATATGATGCTTATTAAATAAAACTAACTTTTTGTAACCATGTGCGAAATAGCAAAGATATGTTTAAGAAATAATTTCGGTCTGGGTGATGAATATAGAACCTGTGTAGAATTTCGATGGATGCGTAGGAATTGACCACGAATGCCGTATGTCCCATTTTGTTTACGCTCGGATCGATATCAGTTTGGTTTTAACAAGAAACAATAAGGGAGATTATAAATGCTCTTTTGTCAAGCGGAATTATTTCCGCTGCGGATTGGGTATAATGTTTTACTATTTTGCATCCTACTTTCGCTAAAGAATAAAGTATTAAACGAAAGATTTGAAGAACATGTAGAATGACAATAAATTTCACCTTGTTCTCCTTACTAAGAATTAATATCCGGTTCCGGTAAAATATGGTGGTCTTTTCTTTCTCTAAAGAAACCATGTAATATATTTTGCACTTCTGCGATTCTAAGACGGTAAAGAGCAGTAGCTTGTGTAGATAATGTGGTAAAGTGTTTTACATTCTGTTTTGATGGAGCGATTGATGTCTAAAATAGAACTTTGTAAGAACTTTGTAAGTGATCCCATCAGTTCTTTCACCCCACCCACCAAATGGGCCATGCCAGGGAGGAGAAGTAAACGTAATAAATATTCACCTTTACAGGATCCCACAATTAAAAAGCACAGAATAAACCCTCACGTAATTCTAAACAATAGTATCTTTTCAGATAAGTGAGAACAGTGAATCGGTTATCGAATCCGATACTTGTTACTTGAATAAAGAAACAGACAAAATGGCTGACAAACAACTTTAAAAAACAGACCTCAAAGAACTAGCGGTGATATTAGCGAAAGAGCTGAAGACCGACCTTATTGATGAACTTAAAACAGAGTTAATGAAAGAATTTAAAAATGAAATTAGGGCAGCAGTGGAATCTGAAACAGCAGAAATAAGAAGTGAACTGTCTTCTTTGAAAGATCAAAATAGTATGTTGCATGCTGCTCTACAAGATAATTAACTAGAAATTGATGAATTAGAGCAATATGGAAGACGCATGTGTCTGGACATATCAAGAATACCGGGTGACACTGGAGACACGAACGAAAACATCTGGAAGACAATTCTTGATCATGTAAACACGGTCAAATTAAAAAAATGGTGATTCACTGAATATTACATCAGCTGACATCGATCGGTGTCATCGCAAAGGGAAATTAAAAAAAAATTAAACTGCAGGAAGGTAAAAGTCAAATTTACGAATCCAAGTGCCAGGCAATCGTCTATACGAAGCGCGAAAAGATCTGGGCGACGGAATCTTGGTACAGGACAACATTACAAAGTTTCGAGACCGACTGTCATTTGAGGCCCGACAACTTGTCCGTTCAAAAAAGCTGGATCGAACATTGGTTGCAGGATGTCGTGTTTATGCAACTCTACCTCCGCGAATCGACCATAAAGAATATGGACAGAAAATTTATATCAAAGACATGTCAATTATCGAGTCAATTACAGATGCTTCTATCTATAGTGTTGTCTAGACAGTTACCGTAAAAAATGTGTGCCACTTTTTAAACTGTGTTGATGTATTGATAGCCTATTGTTAAAAAAACATCAATATGACTACAATAATACTCTATTAATAACCTGTACCGTTGAAGTCTTTTTTTCGGAACCTTTGTAGATATAACATGGGTCAGTGCACTTCAGAAGAGGTAAGTCATGTGTGTGTGTGTGTGGATAGTATAGTAATATTTATTGACAGCGAGACGTCGTATAGTGTAGAGGTTTCACACAAACCATTTTTATACAAAAATTCAAGGCACATAAACTTTTCAGTGTTAACCTAGAGGAATAACTCTGTCAGCTATAATCAAATCATGACCAAATTCAAACATGACCATTGTATTCTTATGACATATTCAAACGTTAAATTTGAATTAAATATGTACAACTATTGGGGAGATAATGAACGCAAATTGAAAATTTCCTTTTTTTCAAAGTGAAAGGAGGCATATTTCTGCCAAAAATCATGGAACCATGACCAAATTCGAGCTTGACCTGCGCATTGCTTTATCATATCCATATGTCAAATTTGAGTTGAATGTGTAATAACGTTGGGGAGATAATGAACGGAAACTAAACATTTAATATTATTTTCAAAGTGAAAGGGCCATAACTCTGCCAAAAATCATCAAACCATGACCAAATTCGAACTTGACCTGCGCATTGCTTTGACGTATCCATATAGTAAATTTGAGTTGAATATGTGTAATTCTTGGGGAGATAATAAACGGAAACCGAAAATTTCATATTTTTGTCAAAGTGAAAGGGGCAAAACTCATCGAACTATGACCAAATTCGAACTTGACCTGCACATTCATTTGACGTATCCATATGTTAAATTTGAGTTAAATGTATGATACCATTGGAGAGGTAATGAACGGGAACTGAAAATTTCATCAAGGGGCATTACTCTGTCAAAAATCAATGGACCATGACCAAATAAGAACTTGGCCTGTATTTTCTCATGACATATCAATATGTCGAATTCGAGTTGAATATGTGCAACCGTTACTAAGATAATGAACGGAAACTGACGGAATGACAGAATGAGGGAATGACGGAATGACGGAACAGGGTAACACTATATGCCCCAGCCATATTATTGCGGGTGCATAAAAATGAATAATAAAATAAGAAGGCCTAATCAAAATTTCCCATTGTGGGATTTAACTTAAAACTTTCCGCATGCAAAGCAAGGACCATAACCACTACTCTAACAGGCCATATAATATAATCTTTAAACTGTTTTTCCTGGTGGTGCGTTTTTGTGTGTGGCTTTTACCTGCCACCCCTGTTTACTT